AGTTTGGGTTTTTTGTTGTTGTTTTGGGGGGACTTTTTTGCAATTCTTTTTCTGATTAGGGTATATTCCAATAGAGATGTATAGTCAATTACTATGTTTTAAAGTCACTTGGAGGCCGGTTGCAGTGGCTCACACCTATAATCCCCGCACTTTGGGAGGCCAAACTGGGCGGATCAGTTGACGTCAGGAGTTCAAGACCAGCCTGTTCAACGTGCTGAAACCCCATCTCTACTAAAAATACAAAACTTAGCCGGGCATAGTGGCACACACCTGTAATCCCAGCTACTGGGGAGGCTGAAGCAAGAGAATTGCTTGAATCCAGGAGGCAGAGGTTTCAGTGAGCCAAGATTGCACCACTGCACTCCAGTCTGGGTGACAGAGCGAAACTCCATCTCAAAAAAAAAAATTAATAATGATAATAATGTTACTTGGAAAAGTTTCTCATGTGTGGTTATGCCACTAGCTCAGTACACAGGCTGATGTGCTTAATTTTTATTTCAATTTTTAGGGGTTGCATTTTTAGTTTCAATTTTGTTTTATAATTATATAAATTATTTGTGTGGTTCTAAAGTCTATAAAACAAGGTCTATTTGAGAAAAATCTAGCTTCCACTTCATTCCATAAATGCTCACTCATTCCTTATTATATAAATGGCCATTTATTTTTATGGCTTGTCCTTCCATTTTTTAAAGTATAAGCAATATTTCAGATATATGTATATATGTCCATCCTCTCTTTAAATATAAATGGCACCGGGTGCAGTAGCTCATGCCTGTAATCCCAACACTTTGGGAGGCCAAGGCAGGCAGATCACGAGGTCAGGAGTTCGAGACCAGCCTGGCCAAAATAGTGAAACCCCGTCTCTACTAAAAATACAAAAAATTAATCGGACTTGGTGGTGGGCACCTGTAATTCCAGTTACTCAGGAGGCTGAGGCAGGAGAATCACTTGAACCCGGGAGGCAGAGGTTGCAGTGGGCTGAGATTGTGCCATTGCACTCCAGCCCGGCTGACAGTGCTAGACTCCATCCCAAAAATAAATTAATTAAATAATTAATTAATTTTAAAATGGCAACAGACTGCACTCAATTCACTCATTTAAATTATACAATTCAATGGTTTTTAGTATATTCACTAAGCTATGCAACCACTGCAACAATCAATTTTCAAACATTTTCATTATCCCAAAAAGATATTCCCACCAGCTGGGTGGTTTCCAATTTCTCTGAATCCTTGCCACCATTTATTACTGTCCATTTTCTTTATTATAGCCATCTTAGTGGAAATGAAGTGGGATCTCATTGTGGTTTGGTTTGCATTTCCCTAATGGCCTATAATATTGATATGGTTTGGCTCTGTGTCCCCACCCAAATCTCATCTCAAATTGTAATCCCCACATGTCAAGGGAGGAACCTGGTGGGAGGTGTTTGGATCATGGGGGTGGCTTCCCCAATGCTCTTCTCTTGAGAGTGAGTTGTCACAAGAGCTGATGGTTTTAAAGTGTGGCACTTCCTTGCTGTCTCTCTCCTGCTGCCATATGAAGAAGGTGCTTGCTTCTCCATTCACCTTCTACCATGATTGTGAGTTTCCTGAGGCCTCCCCAGCCATGCAAAACTGTGAGTCAATTAAACCTTTTTCTTTATAAACTACCCAGTCTCGCCGGGCGCGGTGGCTCACTCCTGTAATCCCAGCACTTTGGGAGGCCGAGGCGGGCGGATCACAAGGTCAGGAGATCGAGACCACAGTGAAACCCCGTCTCTACTAAAAATACAAAAAATTAGCCGGGCGCGGTGGCAAGCGCCTGTAGTCCCAGCTACTCGGGAGGCTGAGGCAAGAGAATGGCGTGAACCCGGGAGGTGGAGCTTGCAGTGAGCCGAGATTGCGTCACTGCCCTCCAGTCTGGGCCACAGAGCGAGACTCCGCCTCAAAAAAAATAAATAAATAAATAAATAAACTACCCAGTCTCAGGTAGTTTCCTTATAGCACTGTGAAAACAGACTAGTACAAATATGGAGCATCTTTCATGTGCGTTTTGGCCATTTGTATATCTTCTCTTTGAAGAAATGTCTGTTCAGATCCTTCACCCATTTATCAATTGAGTTATTTATCTTTTTGTTGTTTTAAGAGTTATTTATTTTTTTTGGACGTAAGTCTCATCAATATTTAATTTGCAAATACTTTCTTCCATTCTATTGTCTTTTCTTTTTTTCTTTTTTTTTTTTTTTCATGAGATGGAATCTCACTCTGTTGTCCAGGCTGGAGTGCAGTGGCACAATCTTGGCTCACTGCAATCTCTGCCTCCCGGGTTCACGCCATTCTCCTGCCTCAGCCTCCCGAGTAGCTGGGACTATAGGTGCCCACCACCACTCCTGGCTAATTTTTTTTTTTTTTTTTTTTTTTTTTAATTTTTAGTAGAGACAGGGTTTTGCCATGTTAGCCAGGATGGTCTCAATCTCCTGACCTTGTGATCCACCCTCCTCAGCCTCCCAAAGTGCTAGGATTACAGGCGTGAGCCACTGCGCCCGGCCCCTATCGTCTTTTCTTGATGGTGTCCTTTGAAGCACAAAAGGTTTTTAGTTAGTTTGTTTTAATTTTGATCAAGTCCAATTTATCTGCTTGTTCATTTGTCACTTGTGGTGCTAGCATCATGTCTAAGAAGGCTTTGCCTAACCCAATATCACAAAGATTTACTCCCACATTTTATTCTAAGATTTTCATAGTACTATTTCTACATTTAAGTCTATGATCCATCATTATGAGTTAATTTTTGTCTATGGCATGAGGTAGGGATCTAACTTTATTCTTTTGTGATATTCAGTTGTCCTAGCACCATTTGTTGAAAAGACTATTTCCCTTTTTCTCTGATTTAATTGGGTTGGCACCATTATTTAAAAAAACAATTAGCCACAAATATAATAGTTTAATATAACATAAAAACAAATATAATAGTTTTTATAGAGATTGTGTTTAATCTGTGAGTCAATTTGGGGAGTATTGCCGTGTTAGCAACATTAAACATTCCAATCCATGAACGTTAGATGTCTTGCCATTTATTTATGTCTTCATTAATTTCTTTTAACAATAATCTTTTAATTCCTTTTTTAGTTTTCAGAGTACAAGTTTTGTACTACTTTTGTTAAATTTATTCCTATTTCTTTTTGTGCTGCTAATATAAATGGAATTGTTTTCTTCAAGCCATTTTCAGATTTCTCCTTCATTTTTTGTCTTGTTTTGTTTTTCTTTTTTGTTCTGTTTTTTAATAGGTTTTATTTTTTAGAGCAGTTTTAGGTTCACAGCAAAACTGAGCAGAAAAGTAAAGAGAATTCCCATCTGCCTCCTGTCCCCACACATGCATAGCCTCCTCCACTATCAATATCCCACACCACAGTGGTAAGTACATTTTTTACAATCGATGAACCTACATATCATTATCCATCATTTGCGTTAGGGTTCACTCTTGGGGCTGCACATCCTTTGGGTTTTGACAAATGTATAATAGCATGCCCATCATTACAGTATCACACAGAATAGTTTCATTGTCCTAGGCCAGGCTTGGTGGCTCATACCTGTAATCCTAGCACTTTGGGAGGTCAAGGTGGATGGATCACTTGAGGCCAAGAGTCCAAGACCAGCCTGATCAACATGGCAAAACCCCGTCTCCACTAAAAATACAAAAACATTAGCCAGGCATGGTGGCACGCACCTGTAGTCCCAACTACTAGGGAGGCTGAGGCATGAGAATCACTTAAACCCGGGAGGTGGAATTTGCAGTGAGCTGAGGTCACACCAATGCACTTCAGCCTGGACGATAGAGCAAGACTCTGTCTCAAAACAAATAAATAAAAAGGATAGTTTCACTGTCATAAAAATCCTCTGTGCTGCCTATTCATCCCTCCCTCCCCAATAACTACTGGCAAACACTGCTCATTTCATAGTCATGGTTTTTCCTTTACCAGAATGTCATATAGCTGGAATTACACAGCATACATCCTTTTCAGCTAACTTCCTCTACCTAGTAATGTGCATTCAAGTTTCTGTTGTTGTTGTTAGTTGGTTGGTTGATTTGTTTTTTTGTTTGGGACAGGGCCTCACTCTGTCACCCAGGCCAGAGTGCAGTAGCGCTATCGTAGCTCACTGCTGCCTCAAACTGCTAGGCTCAAGGGATCCTCCCACCTTGGCCTCCCGAGAAGCTGGGACTACAGGCACCCACCACCATGGCTAACTTTATTTTCTTGTAGAGACAAGGTCTCATTACGTTGCCCAGCTGGTCTCAACATCCTGGACTGAAGCCATCCTCTCACCTTGGCCTCCCAAAGTGCTGGGATTACTGGCATGAGCCACCATGCTCAGCCACATTTAAGTTTACTCCATGTCTTTTCTTTTTTTTTTTTTTTTTCTTTTTTGTGGACATGGATCTCATTGTGTTGCCCAGGCTGGTCTCGAACTCCTAGGCTCAAGCAATTCTACCATCTCAGCCTCCCAAAGTCCTGGGATTATAGGCGTGAGCCACTGAACCCAGCCTACTCTGTGTCTTTTCACATCTTGATAGCTCATTTCTTTTTAGCACTGAATACATTCCACTGTCTGGATCTACCACAGTTTAATTATTCATTCACCTACTGAAGGGCATCTTGGTTGCTTCCAAGTTTTGGCAATTATAAATAATGCTGCTATAAATATCCATGTCCAGATTTGTGTGTAGATGTAAGTTTTCAGCTCATTTGGGTAAATACCAAGGAGCATGATTGCTGGATTGTTAGTAAGAATATGTTTAGTTTTGTAAGAAACTGCCCAACTGTCTTCCAAAGTGACTACACCATTTTGCATTCCCACCAGCAAAAAATGAGAGTTTTTCTTGCTCCACATCCTCACCCATATTTGGTATTTTCAATGTTTTAGATTTTGCCCATTCTAATAAGTGTGGCACTTCCTTGCTGTCTCTATCCTGCTGGTGTGGTGTGTAGTGATATCTCATTGTTTTTTTTGTTTTGTTTTGTTTTGTTTTGTTTTGTTTTGTTTTGTTTTTTCCTGGGGTAACTGGTTCTTTAGCAGGAGAGGAGCACTGGGGAGTATCTTCAGGGTGGCTGAACTTTGCAGCCTCTTTAATAACGCCCCCCTGTGCAGGTTGTCTCCTTTATCACCCCACCCCGATGCCCTGGTCTTCAAGAAATGGCAGCAGGCCCATCTTTCTGTAGGGTTCAGAGTTCTGTGAAGTAGAGCATTCCTTCCAGTGGGATCTTAGAATTCCTAGAGTTGCAGAATTTTACTGACTAGACCCAGGAGGTCTCAGGAGTCCAGACTTGCTTAAAGCTTGGCTGAAAATTCCAAGGGAGCTCATAACTCCGTGGGGCCCAGAGTTCCTGGCTTGGGAACATTGGGAGGCCTGGGATACAGTGGCTCAGCCTCAAGCAGAAAAGTGAACACAATGTCTCTATGGCTTGAAGGTGTATGAAATAATGTCACTACATCGGAGCAGCGCCTCTGCTTGCACACCTATGGGAGTCTGCAGCTGTGACACGTAGAAGTTGACCACATCCAGGTCGGTGGCTCCGAAGTGGGCGGCCACACGCACACCCTCGTGCAACGTGAAGCTCACCTGACGACCCACCATGGCCAGCAGGCTGCGGAGGTAACGCTCCCGAAGGGCGGCTCGGGCCCGCTGCTCCTGGAATTCCAGGGATTCTTGAGCTATGGGACACTCCTGGATTTCAGGAACCTCTGGCCTCAGGGGGGCTCTGCGTCCATCAGGGGCAAAGCCACGGCTGAAGCCATCAGGGCCCCGGGGCAGCCGGAGCACAGGTACAGGAATGGTCACTGGAGTTTGCATTGTCTTGGCGAGGTCCGCGGCTACTGGCGCCCCCGCTTCCGCCGGCGTCCCAGCTGCAGAGGCCCCCTCATTGTTTTAATTAGCAATTCCCCGATGACATATGATGTTGGCCATCTTCATACCCATTTATTTGCCATCTGTATATCTTCTTTAGTGAGGTGTCTGTTCAGGTTCAAGTGTCTGTTCAGAAAAATTTTTTAATCAAATTGTTTTCTTATTATTGAATTTTAAGAGTTCTTTGTTTACTTTGGATAATAGTCCATTTTCAGATATGTCTTTTGCAAATATTTTCTTCCAGTATGTGGCTTGTCTTCTCATTATCTTGATCTCCTTGGTTTTTCTAGACCTAAAGATCATACCATAGTAGTAAATATACTTCTCACTTCTCTTTACAACTGCAATTATTTTATTTGTTTATAGCTTAAGTTTTTCAAAAGGATTGTATATTTGTGTAATTTAACAAGAAGCTATTATGTATTTTGAAACAGATAAAATAATATGCCCATCAGATAATTACTTTCATTACATTTTATGATGTGGCAAATATTAGTATATTTGAGATGCCAATAATTGCCTGCCTGCCCACATCTTCTAAAAGAACTTGTTTTGTGCACAGATTTTCTTTCCCTAAAGGATAATTTAGACAAATGTGGTGGCTCAGACCTGTAATTCCAGCACTTTGACAGGCGAATCACTTTGAGCTGCTCAGGAGTTCGAGACTAGCCTGGGCAACTGGTGAAACCCCATCTCTACAAATACTACAAAAAACAGCAGGGCATGGTGGTTCACGTCTTTAGTCCCAAATACGCAGGAGGCTGAGGCTGAAGAATCGCTTGAGCCCAGGAAGCAGAGGTTACAGTGAGCTGAGATCATGCCACTGCACCCCAGCCTAGGCAACAGAGCAGACCCTGTCTCAAAAAAAAAAGATAATTTACTAGACCAAATAACCATTTATCATCACCATGACTGATCAGGCCAGGGAGTGCAACACTGCATTCAATACCATTCTCTCATTTTCCTTTTCCATCCTAATAGAAAAATTCCTTTATCTTAGCCAAATGTATTATGACAGGCTGAGCACCTTCTCAGCCTAAGAGGATGAACCTTAATTAGTCCAAGTCAGCCACAATAGTTGTCATTTACCTTGCTTAATCTGCCAATGAGATATAAGGGGAAGTTTGTTGGAGGCCTTCTGGGAACATTTTTCCCTGCCCTAAAAATGGAACACATAGGAACAGAAAACCAAACACCGTATGTTCTCACTCATAAGTGGGAGTTGAACATTGAGAACACATGGACACAGAGAGGGGAACAACACACACCAGGGCCTGTTGCAGGGTGAGGGGTGAGGGGAGAGAACTTAGAAAATGGGTCAATAGGTGCAGCAAACCACCATGGCACACGTATGTATACTTATGTAACAAACTTGCACATTCTGCCGATGTATCCCGTTTTCTGTTTTTGTTTTTGTTTTTTTGAGAAATTTTTTTTTTAATGGAACACATGAGAAGGACAGTTCATTTTCTGTGTCCCAGTGTTGTGAACCCCTGTAATGCCTGAAGCTATAACAACCAACTTGGAATCATGAGAGACACCAGCCTCAGTGGAAAAGCCAACCTGTTGAGGATGGCAGAACAGAAAGATGGGAGACACCTGGGCCCGCAGGTAATGAGGTCACTGAGCACATGCCCTATCTCTAGATTACTATTATATATGATAATAAATGCTTAAACAACTTTGGATTGGGCTTTTTGTTACTTTTAGCCAAGAGCATCACAACTGATCAAATCAGATACCTAACTCAAGGGCAGCCAATCCCTAGGCCTGCCAGTTGGACACAGAAATATGCAAGGTGTCATCATTCACACTAATGCCAAAGCATGGAGCTGAGGCCCACACATTTCTGCTTAAATCCAGAGCCACTCTCCAGCTCTCGTCTGTTGATGCCTAATCCCAGTATGTCTCCTATTTGTCGAGTGCCAGGAAAATTGGTCCCCCTTAGTGCAATTATCACCTTTTGTTTGAACTAGCTTGAGTGGCTTATAACCAAATGAGTTTGATTAGAGCAATCTGGAAAAGTTAGTACCTCGGGAAATAACCTGATTTCTTTAAAAGAGAGATGAAGCTTTTCACCTTTAGCCTACAAGACATAATAGATGCATTATGCTGCATTTTGCTTTTTCAGCTACCCCTATTACAAATTAAGGAACTAAAGACAGTCCATTTGACGGGCAAATATGGAATCTGGCCTAAAAACTTCACAGAAAATTTTATAGTATATTTTATATACTATGTTTTATATACTTTTCAGGAAGATATTTTAGTACATATGTGAATTATAGGTATTTATTTTAGTTTGTTTTTGCTGAACCTTTTGAGGCTTATTACAGAGATTATGACTCTTCTCTCCTAAGCACATCTGCATGTATGTACTTAGGAGAATATGAGAAACCAGCCTCAGTGGAAAAGCCAACCTGCTGAGGATGGCACAGAAGAAAGATGGGAGACACCTGGACCCCCAGGTAATGAGGTCACTGAGGATATGCCTTATCTCTAGATTATTGTTACATATGATAATAAATGCTTAAACAACTTTGGAAGTTGTTTAATATACATTCCATCTTCAAATTTCAATATTATCAATATTGAAATATTGATAATAAAATACCAATATTATCCTTTATAGAAATGTTTTTTTACAATCTAGAATCACATATTTCATGTAGTTGTCATGTCTCTTCAGTCTCTTTTTTTTTTTTTGAGACAGAGTCTCGCTCTGTCGCTCAGGCTGGAGTGCAGTGGTGAGATCTTGGCTCACTGCAAGCTCTGCCTCCCAGGTTCACACCATTCTCCTGCCTCAGCCTCCCGAGTAGCTGGGACTACAGGCGCCCACCACCATGCCTGGCTAATTTTTTGTATTTTTTTTAGTAGAGACAGGGTTTCACCGTGTTAGCCAGGATGGTCTTGATCTCCTGACCTCGTGATCCACCCACCTCGACCTCCCAAAGTGCTGGGATTACAGGCATGAGCCACCGCGCCCGGCCTCTTCAGTCTCTTTTAATCTGGAACAGTTCTTGGCCTTGCTTTGTCTTTCATGACAGTGATGTTTTTGAAGAATACAGGCCCATTGTTTTATCCCCATTGTTTCCCTGTGATTCAATTAAAATTATACATTTTTGGCAGAGACACTACGTTAGCAATTTATGTTCATCACATCAGGACACACCTACAGTCAGTTTGTATTATTTGGGAGGATGTTGTTGACCTTGATTACTTGATTAAAGTGGTTTCCACTAGATTTGTCCTCCTTTTTTCTCCTTGTATTTAATAAATAATCTGTAGGAATATACTTTGGTACTGTGTAAATATCCTCTTCTCCAATAAATTTTCTACCAACTTCCAGCATCCACTGACAATTCTTTCCTGAATAAATTATTACTATGGTAATTGTTGCAGGTGTGACTTTCTAGGGCTAGTGGCGCAGGCTGTAAAGGAATTTACCAAGACAGTTGTAGGTAAAGAAAGTCAGATTAAGACATGACAATGCGTTGCAAGGATGCAACAGGCAGCACAGCAGAGAAGGAGCTCATGTGCAAAGCTCCTGCAAAGAGGCAAGGGCTGGAAGGAAGTTTTATAGGGCCATGCTGGAGGGGCCTACTTGCCGAACAGGTCATTGTGCCACAAGGTCGTTGTGCCCTTGGGTTGTTTGATAAGCCATCTCTCAGAACAATTGTTCACTGTTCTTCTCCACCTGGGGCCCCTTCCTTGCTTTTGCTACTTATCAGTACTCCACAGTAATTGCATAAATGGTGACTTTCTAACTCATCATTACTTCTACATTAGTTGACACCCTACTGTAAAGAGCCCTCCTTCTCCCTTCCCTATCTGCATTTGCTTGCTTGCTTGTTTTTTACTGTCAGTATGAATTCATGGATTCTATTTTATTCAGTGGGATGTAATCCATTAATGTCACTACTTATTTTTATGCTCAAATTATCCCAGGTTTGGCCAGGGAAAGCCCATCAGCTGGCTTCTGTGTCATTTTGACATAATTTCATGCATTTTTAGCACTTCTTTACTTTCTGGCCTAGCAAATTTTTCAGGCCCATGTTACATTTTCCCTCCTCTAGCCATGAAAACAGTCCCATCTTCAAGAAGCCCTGGTTCCTTGTAGCAGACAGTGATTTTTTGAAAACAAGATTTGGAAACCAAATCTCTTCATTGAAACTTGCTCTTTCAGCAAACATAGCTAGGATGTTGTTTTTGTTTTAAAAAGAGGGGAAAAAAAAAAAAACATGAGTGTATGCCAATCCAGCACCACCACAAGGTTCTTCCTTACCTTTCCCCATTCCATATTGAATCTCCCTCCTCAAAGCAAGAACTCTGGCTCCCAACAATTATCAATGCAATTATTTGCTCAATACTATAATATACAAAAAATAGTTTCAGAATTGCTACACCTGTGCCACCACCAACAATAAAGCTATCAAGTAGAGCTCAAAATTTCTCACAGCTCTTTTGTTTTTAAACTCAGGATATATAGTCAAGATACTTTGTCCAAATGTTACTTGAGTAGGTTGGGTTTCTTTTTCCTTCTGTGTGATTCTCCATTTTTATGTACATTCAGTTTCTTTGTTTCTATTTGTATCCAATTTTAGGACTTCTTCCCCAAAATTGTTGATTATTTTATAAACACGTAAAGCATTAACATGATTCCAAAAGTCAAAATAATACACTAGTGGATATGGAGATGTGTCATTCTCTCTATATATTCCTCCCATTCTGTTCCCACTCTCCCCCTGCAAGTAACAAATTTCAGTCCTTTCTGCTTTGTCCTTCTAATATGTCTTTTTGTTAAAAGGAAGCAGATACATGTGCATTCTCTCCCCTTATTCCTTTTCTATGGTAGTGGCATACTATTATTCTCTTTTGCTCTTTGCTTTTTTCACTTAGCAGCAAAGCCTGAAAATCACTCCTTAAAAGCTGCCTAATATGCTATTATGTGTATGTGATGTAATATAATTTATTCACTCTGT